CAGGTAAGGGGTGCGGGGCTGCTGCCGCGGGCACCCACCCTTGCTCGTGCGGCGGTCACGGCCGGCCGGTGGCCCCCAGTTTCGAGGGCTCCGCAGCCGGCTGCCCCGATGCGCGGCTGGGCCGCTCCCGACCCTTCCTGCACCTTGCAGTTAATGTCCTTAAATTCTTCTCTTAAAAAAGGTTTCTTTCCTTATGCACACAAGACCTGGGGTGCAGGCCAGAGGGGGGAGAGGTTCCCCAGCCACAGAGCGGGGAGCAGAACAGGCGGATGGACTGAAACCCACTGCTGAGGGGGCGCCCTGGGGTCCCGCCCGCCCCCCAGAGGCTGCGGCAGCTTCTGGGCCGCGGGCTCCCGACTCGCCGGCCCTCCCGTGGCTCCGTGCGGAGGAGCAGTTAGCCGCTGCCCGCACCTCGCTTCTGTTGCAGGGACACCCGGCTCCAGGGACACCCGGCAGGGAGCCGCAGGGAAGTCTGATGTCAGCTAAGTGACGCTGCTAGTCTTGATCCGTCCTGCTGTGGAGTTTTGTCGCCCAGAAGTGTCTGATTCTGAGTAGTTTATTAAACTTGGCCCACTTTTGTGGATTTGGTTGCTTAATATATTTGTGAGTTCTTTTATATACAGGTCAGTAAAAAACCCTTTCATCACATAATGCTTTTTTAAAACAACCACTGTAGTATAGATTTTATAGTAGGTTTGACTTGCTTCTCATCACAATGGGCTTTCAAATGTTTATCACTTTTTCACTGGAAACTTCAGTTATGCAGAAACAGGAGAGCCCACTGGAGTCTCTAAGAAACCGCAGTGGCGAGCTCGCCCTGGTGGCACAGCGGGTTAGAGCACGGCATTATGAAGCTCTGCGAAGCCACTGCAGCACAAGGACGATCCCGGCCAGGGAGTGACCCACATGGCGCGGCTGACCGCTCCTGTCTCCCGCTGCTCCCCTCAGCAGCGTGTTTCCGTAGATCTGCCTGTTCTGCTCCCCACTCTGTCTCTGGTGAATCTTCTCACCCACCACAACTCTGGCCTGTACCCCAGTTCTGTAAGCATAAATCAAATCTTTAAAAAGAAAAAAAGAAGCTGCAGTGGCACTCATTCTGCTTCCTTGTGGTCAGTCAGCGCAAGCACACGCGGCTGCACCCTCATCCAGCCTGGGTGTGGCCAGCAGTGCCCGCCGGCCCCCTCCGCTGCCCAGCTCACTCGGCTGTGCAGAGCAGCCAGCCCCTCGTGGCACGATGGGAGCATGCTGGGCGCTGCCTACGTGTGTCGCGCCCACCGCGTCGGGAAGAGCACCTCAGCTCGGCGCCTCTTCCCCCGAAACAGGAGGACCGGCAGGGTACCATTCGCAAACTGAATTTAGGGAGCCCTTTTGTTGACTTTGGAGGTTCGGCAGGGGGGCCGGTCCTCCCTGGAAGCCCTCGCGTACTGCCCTGGGGCCGCCGTCTTGTCCCCACAGAAGTGGCCGCGCGCCCCGCACACGGTGCGGCTGAACGCCTCGGCCGGAGGCGGCTGGAGCTCCGACGAGTGTGTGCGCGCGTTGCTCGCGGGAAGCGGCCTCGGCTGAGCGCTGGTGCGTGCAGTCGTGCGCGGACGCGAGCACTTGTCCGTCAAGCGTGTTTTCGCATCGTTTCAGGACTTGGTCACGTTCAAGGATGTGGCCGTCGACTTTTCCCAGGAGGAGTGGGAATGGCTGGACCCGGCCCAGAGGCGGTTGTACCGGAGCATGATGTTGGAGAACTACCGCAGCCTGGCGTCTCTGGGTGAGTGTGGCCCCCTGGGCGGTTTGGCCCGCCCTGAGGCGTCCCTGCCTTTCTAACCACTGACACTGTGTGTCTGTCAGGAGGACCCTGAAAGCGGAAGATCACTTCAGACTCCAGGGCCAGGGGGCGCAGGCGCGGCCATCCCGTCGGCCGCTGGGGCGGCACTGAGGCGACTCTGGCGTCCTGTAGTGGGGCTGTCGTGGGTCTGGGTGCTGCTAAGGCTCGCTCATAATTACCTGGGTTACCAGAAATTCAGAATATTGCTTTAAAAGTCGGTGGGTGGTTATTGTTATTGACCTGGCATGAGCTAGTTGAGGGGGGCAAGGAGGAGGCTTTATCGGTGTTACCAGGGAAACTAACGTGGACCCTTCTCAGCTTGGAGCCGTGTCACTGGGTAAACTACCTTTCTGTTCTTCAGAGACTTAAAAAAAAAAAAGGTTTATTTATTTATGCATACAAGAGCTGGGGTGCCGGCCACAGCGGACGCAGCTACTGGAGTCCACTGCTGAGGTGCAGCGGGAGACCGGAGGGTCTGCAGCGCCTGGCGGGGATGGACCTCGCGCTGCAGAGGCTGCTGACGGCGTCACAGTGCCGAGACGACCCCTGCGCCACCAGGGAGGCTGTGGAGACCGCTCTGGCTCTGCTTGTGGCTAACTGAGCTTCTTTAAGCTAGATTTCTGTCTTTCACCAAACCAAGCCATGTTGGGCCATTATTTTTTCAGCTGTTACTTGTGCTCTCTCTCTTCTCCTGGGGCTTCAGTTATAGCTACCTTAGAACTTCTTATATTATGCCCAGGGAACTGAGGACCCTTCACTCTTTAAAATTTATTTGTGTATGTACACAGAACTGGGGTGCAGGCCAGGGGTGCAGGGGTGGTGAGAGGCTTCACCAGAGACAGAGCTGGGAGCAGCACAGGCCGACTGACTGAAACCCACTGCCGAGGGGCAGCAGGCAGGTCAGGAGAGGGCTGCTGTGCCCTGGGGGTCAGCTCCGGGGTGGGGATCTGACTCCCTGAAGCAGCTGTGGCAGCCTGCAGCGCTGCGTCCCCAGTGAGGGCCCCCCAGTCACTGTTGGAACTCCATTTTGACTATCTTGCAGATTATTTGATTATTTCTGTTGCTTGATCTTCAAATTCACTGACTCTTCCTTGTTCTCTTTGATGTCTTGTTAAGCCCCTCTTGTGGATTTCAAGTTTTAGATTCTTATTTTTCTAGAAAAACGGGCATATTTAAATTCTTAAGTGCAGACATAATAGGTGTTTTCAAATCCCGGTTTACTAATTGCAGCTTCTGTGTGGTTGCAGGTCAGGTGGTTCATCACATTCTCTGGAATAGGATTCACTGTCTTGCCTTCATATGCGTAATATTTTATTTTATCTTGGAGATTGTAAATAATACAAGCAGAGACACGGAATTGTGTTTGGAGTTTTTCCTGCTATTTTTTTTTAATCAGACAGTTAACCTGATTCAGATTCCAAATCCTCCCTAGGAGTTAGCAGACCTTACTATTTCCTGCCAGTCTCTGAAACCAAGAGGGAGGTTGTGGAGATGACTGCTGCCAGCCACTGGACAGCCGGCACTTTGCGTCGTTTACCCTCGCGGTGTGCCTCACCCCGAATGTAATAGGGGCTGACGTATAGCTCTGAAATGGCCAACATGTGGCCAACTGTCATGTCTCTTTCGCGTGCAGGACTTTGTGTCACCAAGCCTTATGTGATCTCCCTGTTGGAGCAGGGGAAGGAGCCTTGGGAGATGCAGCGTAAGATGGCAAGAAGCCCGCCCCCAGGTGAGTGCTGGATGGGCGTGAGGGAGAATTTCTCAGGGCTGGCTCGGCCACTTTCAGACGTGCTCCCGCATCACTTCTACTGCTTAGAAACTCCTCTTGTGGCCCTCCCTGGGGGCGCAGCAGGTGAAAGCGCAGCCCCGTGAGGCGAGCCACAGCTGCTCAGCTCAAGTCCAATCCCTGGCCAGGCTGGAGGTTCATGCTCTTCAAGCCCGGAGCTACCCAGGGCGCAGCAGACCCCTCTTGTCTCCCCGCTGCTCCCCTCCGCAGTGGGTCTCAGTGAATCCGCCTGTTCTGTGTCACCTCCCGTACCTCTGGCCTGTACCCCAGTCCTTGTATGCCTAAGTAAGTACTAAAAAAAATCCTTCCGAAGCCTAACCCTGCAGAGAAAACTGAACGTTTACCACGCAGCATGGACGCCCGCTGTCTTCTCTTCGAGTTATGTCTGGCGAGTCGCTTCGCAAACGTCTCTGCCCAGAGCCACCCTTCTCACTCCCTTCTGCCTTGGAGACTTGTATGAGCATCTCCGTCTCCTTACCTCCAAGGTTAGGTGCTGCTTGCGGCCTTAAATGTCTTTTAGTTTTCCTTTGGAAATAGGGAAAATCTAATCCTTGCTAGCCCATATGTGATCGACGCCTTTTACTTCTTCACCTTTTTCTCCATCACTTTGTAGCTTTTCCCCTGTACCTTAGACTTTTTTAAATTTTGGAAGGAATACTTCCTGTACATTCCAGGTCTGCCAAGACACAAGTCTCTTAAAACCAAGTGGGACCGGTTTCTAGGGCACTTTTATTTCTTCAGTGAAGACTGACCTCGCTGACATGGTGAGAAGGCGCCGTGCGCCAACCAACCAGAACATGTGCACTAATGGCGACAGCAGCCTGTGCATCGCACTGGCCTGGGTCCTGCAGGGTCCCATGAGACAGTCCAAGAAGCGGTACTCTCCTAGGCGGGTGGAAGTAAGCAGATGAGTGGCGGAAAGCCCTCTGTTAGGAGTGACTGTATTCAGACACGTGGAGAGAGCGCGTGGGGTCACGGTCTCTGGTTTTGGAAAGGGTAACCCTGCAACTTCACCTGAACTCAGGAGGGTCACAAGGCATTGGGTATCATGGCTGCTGGGACCCTGGACAGGTGTTGAACTGCATTAGTGACAGGACAGTGGTATTTGCGCTGTCCGAGCCGGCTGGAGCGGGGAGGCTGCAGGGCACAGTTCAGTGTTTCACTACTGAAGGTGTACATGCTGCCGCCAGGCAGGCTACTCTGGGGTCTCATTGTGCTGCATTGCTGTGTCTTGATTGCCTTTCATGTTCTGCTGTGAGCTTTCGTTCCCTGGATCCTGGTGCATGTTATTTCAGTGGACATGCCTATACGTGATAGGTTTTGTGAGATTTTTTATTTTAGAGTCACTTTTCCCATAATGTTTCTTTGCTTATAATCCATGATAAAGGAAACATTTGTTTATGTGTTTCAGATTGGGAGTCTCTATATGAGACACAGGCATTATCTCTGAAGCAGTACATGTACGATGACATGTTCATGGAGAGAATTGCAAGCTATGGACTTGAGTGTTCTCCTTTCAGAGAAAATGTGAAATGTGAAGATCTTTTTGAAAGGCATCTGGTAAGTCAAGAGATGTTTATGAGGCAAAAATCCACTCATAAAGAAACAGAGACTGAGGAGCCAGATCACAGATATAACAAATCTGGAAAATTTGTCCCTGTGCTCAATGTAGAAGAGAAGCTTTATAATCATAAGTTGGATAAAAAAAGCTTATCCAAAAGTCCCGTGGTATTAAAACCCAAGAAAGTTTATGGAGGAAAGAAACTTTTCAAATGTAATGAATGTGAGAAAACCTTCACCCAGAGCTCATCCCTTACTGTTCATCAGAGAATCCATACTGGTGAAAAACCATATGCATGTAGGGAATGTGGGAAAGCCTTCAACCAGAGTCAGCACCTTGCCCAACACTACAGAATCCATACCGGAGAGAAGCTCTTTGAATGTAAAGAATGCAGGAAAGCCTTCAGCCAGAATGTCCACCTTGTTCAGCATCAAAGGATTCACACTGGAGAAAAACCATATAAATGTAAGGAGTGTAGAAAAGCCTTCAGCCAGCCTGCACACCTTGCTCAGCACCACAGGATCCACACTGGGGAGAAGCCCTACAAGTGTAAGGAGTGTGAGAAGGCCTTCAGTGACGGCTCATCGTTTGCTCGCCATCAGAGATGTCACACTGGCAAAAGGCCCTATGAGTGCATTGAATGCGGGAAGGCCTTTAGACAGAACACGTCTCTCATCCGCCACTGGCGCTACTACCACACGGGCGAGAAGCCCTTCGACTGCGCCGACTGCGGGAAGGCCTTCAGCGACCACATCGGGCTCAGCCAGCACCGGCGCATCCACACTGGAGAGAAGCCCTACAGGTGTAATGTGTGTGGAAAAACCTTCAGCTATGGCTCGTCCCTCACCGTCCATCAGAGAATTCACACAGGAGAGAAGCCGTATGAATGCGATGCTTGTGGCAAAGCCTTTAGTCACCATGCTTCACTCACGCAACATCAGAGAGTACATTCTGGGGAGAAGCCTTACGAATGTCAGGAATGTGGGAAAGCCTTCAGGCAGAGTATACACCTCGCAAGTCACTTGAGAATCCATACTGGTGAGAAGCCCTATGTGTGTAAGGAGTGTGGAAAAGCTTTCAGCATCAGTTCCCAGCTGGCCACTCACCAGAGAATTCATACTGGAGAGAAGCCTTATGAATGCAAGGAGTGTGGGAAAGCTTTCACGCAGAGGGCACACCTGGCCCAACATAGTAAAATTCATACTGGAGAAAAACCTTACGAATGCGATGAATGTGGCAAGGCCTTCAGCCAGACTACCCGCCTCACTCAGCACCAGCGAGTCCACACGGGAGAGAAGCCCTATAAATGCGCCGAGTGCGGAAAGGCCTTTAGTGACAGCTCGTCCCGTGCTCAGCATCGGAGGCTTCATACTGGCCAGCGGCCCTATGGGTGCGTAGAGTGTGAGAAGGCATTTAGGACAAAATCTTCCCTCACTTGTCATCAGAGATGCCACACCGGGGAGAAGCCGTACGCATGCGGTGCGTGCGGCAAGGCCTTCGGCCACCGGCAGTCGCTGACTGTTCACCAGAGGATTCACTCTGGAGAAAAACCCTACGAGTGTAAGGCATGCAGGAAGACCTTCAGCCAGATTGGACACCTGAACCTGCACCGGCGAGTTCACAGTGGCGAGCGCGCTTGCCAGTGCACGGGATGCGGAGAAGTCTTCAGGCAGAGTGCGCATCTTGCGCGTCACCAGAAAGCTCATGGGGTGGAGCCGCCTGGTGTGGCCGGCTTGCTCTCCGCGGAGTCACCGCACCCTGTGGCCGCAGCTGAGAGGCGTGTCTGGAGCGCGCCGGCTGCCTTCCCTTCTCACTGTCCTGCACCGGATCAGGACCTTTTCCCCTGGGGGCTTCCCTTCCTCTAACACGGGAGTGCTGGGTCCCCTCTGGAGAGTGTTTCTCCCACGTGAATGTGCTTCTGTTACTCTTACCAGCCTATCATGAAATCTTAAACTACTTGATGCGTATCACAGCCTGGTGGCGTATCTGGCCCAGACTGAGCGCTCAGTAACTGGGGGTCAATATTTTTGTGGCGTGAAAAAGTGTTTTCAGACCATGGGAGGCATGCGACAACACCCTAACAGGTATGGTGCTGAAACGCTTCAAGTGGGTGATAGGATTAGCACGCACGTGTGGTGTGTGTAAAGCTCGATAACATAACAAAAGAATATAGTGGCTTTTCAAGGCTCTGAGGCTGTGTTCCTTTGTTGGTCAGAAATTCATTGTAACCGAGACACAGAATGTATTTTAGGAAGATGTCTAGAGCTCAGAGCACATCCTAGGGACAAAAGAATTAGAATGTAGGGGGGGAAATGTAAGACTTCAGGAAAGGCAAAAAAAAAAAAAAGGCTAATATTTAAAACAAAAGAAATGGAGAACTTGAGTATTAACAGCCCTATTTTAAGACATGGGGCTAGTTCACAAATACCAGAAATTCCTTCAGTGAGCCACTGATTCTGATTAAGCTATTCTTAACACTGAAAAGATTCTGTGGCTCTGAAGTGATCCTAGAGTATAGGGAAAATAAGTTAAATGCAGCACCTGCAAGTATTTTCATGTAGCTAATCCAGCTTCGATACCAAACCCAGAAAAAGCTATAGATGAACTCACCTATGGCTGCGGGTAGAGAGGAAGTTACTGACCTGGATGGAGGGAGGGCGCCGATCCCATGTCTCCAGGTGGCCTTTCCAGTTTCCCAAAGACCACCAAGGAGCCGATGCCCATGCGAAGTCCACGAGGGTCTTTACTGCAAGCTCGTGCCTGGGCCCCCAACATGCAGCAGTGCAGCAGCTGAAGTGGAGAGCCCCGAGCTCAAGGCAGGCAGGGGAGTTTCAGCCCGGCAGAGGGGAGTTTCAGCCCCGCATAGGGGAGTTTCAGCCCGGCAGTACATTGACTGGTGGACATTGAACAAAGTTATCTTGTCTTAACCTGGTTGGTCTGTGCGTGTAAGCTGTGACCTTCCCACTCACCCGCACACCGTGGGACATCTGGCGCCCTCCTGACACGTACTGGTCACTTGCCTACTTGCGAACTGGCTATTGCTATGGGATGAGCGAGATTAGGACATTTACAGTTAAACTCGGCCTTGGCGCCTTGTTGATAACCGAGACTTGGGCCTGGCTGCTTCAGAAGCCTTCTGCAGCCTGCCATGTGGCTTTCAGGGTTGCGGGTGCAGCACATCACTCACAGCCTTCACAGGCCAACCCATGTCAAGAGTTCAGTTCCGAAGATCACGCAGAACAGTGCACAGGCGGGCGCCACAGAGACAGGTTTTACACGATGTATCCAAGAATATGCTTTCTCACATTAGTGGTAATTTGGCTGTCAGTGGGAGAGCTGGACTATCTAAGGGTGCTTTCCGATTAGTTATCCCACTGGGAATCGTCGGGCCCACCTTTCAGCTCCCTGGAGAGGAGCATCCTGGAAAGATTAAAGGTGGAGCCCAGAGCGCAGCAGAAGGGGGCCCAGAGGACTTTGTGTACTGAGGCAGCAGGGCCTCGCCCAAAGAGGCTGAGTGCGGGCTAAAGGCACACGAGAGGCTGAGGCCTTAGGCACATCTTACCAAGGCCACCGCCACACTAGGAAGTTCCCTGGGAAAGAGCAAGGGTGAGAGCCAAGTACGGATTCTCGCAGAGCGTACCACCGACAACGCAGGTGCCGAATGTACGGCAGGCGCAGCCGGAGCCTCGGCAGCAGGAAGATCCACGTCACTGTCCCCAGCGCCAGCTGGGCGAGCCAGGAGTGGAAAGGTCGGCTACTGCCGGGGGCTGTGGAAGGCGTTTTCAGGGCGGGGAGGGAAGCCAGCCAGCGCTGTCCTGAGCAGTGCCCATACTGAGGTGGCGCGCCTGCTGCAGAAACGGCCGGAACTCCGCGTACCCCGCAGCTGGCGGCGACGCTAGAGCAGCCCCAGTGCCCGCTGACGGCGGGGGCTTGCTGAAACCGAGCCCGCCGCCGAGCAGAGTGCTGCGCGGTGCGGAGGCCGCAGCACCGCGCCAGGCCGTGACTGCACCCGCTCACAGTTGCGAATGCGCCACCGACTTTGGAAGCACAGAAGGGCGTGTGCCGGCCACCCCTGATCCGACGCCACAGAGTTTTCTGTACAAGCTGCGCTGACCTCCGAGTGGCTCTGAGGTCGCTCGCAGGGTTTGTGCTGCCCTTTCTCCCCGGAATCCTGTCACTCACCCTCCCTGGACGCGCGAGGGGGTGGGCAGGGCCGGCCTGCAGCCACGACTCCTTCCACAGGGAGCCAATGCCTGCGCTTGGCCAGCAAGAGCTGCCCCTCCCTTTCCAGGTCACATCCTCGGAGAGCCCAGCTCTTGGGTTTCATTGTGAAGTTACATGCTGTTGGCCAAAGAAATCTCGCCAGCACGGAAGTGGGTGGCTGAGTGGGTTTTAGGCGGAAGGGCCTCGACAAATTGGGTGGTTTTAAACTGGGTTACGGGTGCTGTAGAGAAGGTCCGTTCCGTGCCGTGAACCCAAGGTGCTGTGGCCCCAGTCTTGCCTTAGGCCACTTGCAAGCGGGGGGAAACGCCAGCGTCGGGGCGTGCGATGCCCGTTTTAGTGCCGTTGGGTATCGTAACGCGGAAGGTGCTGCAGGCCAGGCCTGGTCAGCTGGTGTTGGTCAAGCTAGTGCCCACTAGCCCTGGTCCGCAAAGCTCCCGCCGCCGGCCCCGCCCACTAGCTCAGCTGCTA